TAGCTTAGAGCAGGCAAAAAGCAAGACATAGTCTTTGCATCATGCACTTGACTACCTAGTCTTAATATATTTCCCTTCAATTAACAGGTTTTAACACCAAAACATTTGTAAGCTACTTGACTGATACAATTCTCCAATGCAGTAATTTTCCAGCTTTCATTTCCATGTCATTGTCAGTTAACAAAAAGTGAATTTGGTATTGTCCAAGTTCAAGCAACAGAACTAGAGGTTATCTGGTGCAAAATAAAATTTCTTGAAAATACTCAGGGATTTATTGCAACCCAACCATTTCAAGCTTTAACATGAGAAAATTGACTAGCGTGACATCTGAAATCATGAGCTGATTGATCTTCAACATATCTCATGCGTTTTAAGAATTAAGCGGCAACAACAGCAAAAGTAATGGCTGTTTACAGTTGGTCGTGAGGCTTGAAACTAAGGAACTACCAAACTAAAATAGGAAAAGTAGCAGTAGTTTACAGTTGGTTTTGATACTTGAAACTACCAACCACCATCAATTCAACTGAGTCATTAGCATGGGAAAATTGAAACTATATAAAATCGTCTATAACATGCACACAAAGATGATTACTAATCAAACAAATTCTCATTTTTCTCTGCCTCATCAGCTTGTTAATTGTCAACAATCAGTTTGAAAGAAACAAATCTGGAAAATAAACAACTTCCCAACACAAATGACATTCTGTTTAGGCCTTCAAGTTCCTTATTCAGTTATCAGCCTCCATCGAAGCTATGTTTAAAAGGAGTCGAAGTCGAAGTCATACTCTGTTGCTTGCAGCAGTTATAACCATGAAAAAAAGAGGAGGAAAAATGCCATCCAACAAACAATGATGATATTGTCTTTTGGTAACCTTAGTTTAGTTAAGGTGTGTTTCTCGGATTTTGGTCATAGTCTAAGGGGCTACTTGTGTCTTATCCCGCAAACAAAATATTGATCAACAAATAAAACATTTTAGTGGCTATTACATTTCTGGATATCCACTATGTTCATTACTCATGAGTTACTGATAGCAATTTTCATTTTACTTGAAAGCAATTTAAAGTGCACCCAAATTGCAAATAAATCATAGATATGAGATCACTTTATTCGAAATCATATGAGAATAAGAATGTTTAAGAAGAACGTTTTAGTTTGCTGTCAGTGTGGCAAACATGAGTAATTCGTTCCTGCAAATCAAATTAAATGAAGGATAGAATAAATCAATTCATCTCGAGCCATTACTTCAGCTTCCATGCTGGACATGGAAAATTTGTGCTCTATGATTCAGATCGCAATGTCATTTAGTGAAGTTTTGACAATCCAACAAACACAATTTTACCTGATCAGCATATATCAGCTGGACAAGAGTTGTTCTCGAGTGCCCCAGAAGCAGATGATTTATTTGGGATTTTCTGCCTCAAAATGCAAAATGATGTGAACCTTGTTCAGTACCCTGTCGATACAGCAAATAGTGCCCCATATGCTTACTACGCAACATACTTGCACAATTCCAGTAATAGGCTAAGGAATCTAACCAGAGGAGGCTACGTAGAGAAAGGACCACCATCTATATGCTGAAAATCTAATACAAGTAGAGCTTAGCACAACACACAATGCACAAAATACAACTTTCTCAGCAAACTACAATCCTCATATATCACAATTTAATTACTCATACACAAAACAGTCATTATCATCCAATCACATTCAATGGGAAAGGAGAAAGAGAGATCGAAATTTTTTATTAGATATTTCAAGTAAGTGTCCTAAAAAGTTTACTTTTACCGGCTAATGGTTAATTGCCCCTAAATAATTAGGTTTAAAACATATTTTGCGGCACTTATATTATTGTTATTAAATAATTGCTGCTAAAAGAGAATTTTGTAGTAGTGTACTTTGGTGTTTACGTAAAAAATTATGTAATACAACGCAAACAACTACTATAGAGGGTGTTTTTGTAAAAGATAAAAGTTTGGTATAGAATTTAAATTTTTAAAAGATCCCAAATAATAAGATTTGACCCAAATACTACTTTTTTCTAATATTTGAAAATTTGGGTTATTTGCCAAAAAAAATTGCTAAATAATGACAAATACTATTTGACAAATTTTACTTAGGTAATCTATGGCCAAACAGGTCACCCAAACCATTGCCATCCCTATCTAGGAGGGCATTGTTTTGTGGCCCAATATATAGGGGTTCCTTTTATTATTTTGAGGGCATTATATTAAATTTTTTTTAAAAATAAATAAATAACTAAAAAACTAAATAAAATTAACCTAGAAACAAACATGCACAATATAAATAAAATTTGAATTGAAATCAGTTATTTTATTGCCAGACTGATCCTAAATATTTGCTCCATTTGGCTCCCCTTTATAGCAAACACGTTCATGCCTCCCTTTTTATAGCGTATATTATATTAAGAGGAAATAATTATAGGCAACTAAATCGATAGACTACTTGTAAAATCTCGCTAATTGAAAGAACTAGAAAGAGTTAGAATTGGAAATAGTCATTTTAGGAAAGAATGAAAAATCTAGAAAAAAATTGGTATGTTAAGTTTGAGTTTTTGTCAACTTCAAATGACCATAACTCCTAGATCAGGATGAGTTAGGTGTTCTTCTAGATACCGTAGGAAAGATCTTGGAATTTCCTTTCCAACACCGCCGAGTTTGCGCGATTCCGAGTTTGTATGAGTGAGATATGCTCATTTGAAGTTGGGCAGTTCAAATAAGGAAAGTCTAAACCGGATTTTGGAAGGGTATTTTGGTCTTTACCATACCCAATTTAATTAATTCGTTTTTGGTAGTTACTTTGGAGTTTAAACTGAACTTGGTCAGTTTACTCTTTTGAACATTAAGTTAGGGTTTTGAGAGAAGAGAAAAGAAGAGGAGAAGGAGCAAGAATCGTCAAGTTCTTCAAGAACCGTTTGTGGATTTCATAAAGGGGTGATCCCTACGAGGTATGTGAGGATTTCATAACGTTGGGTTCGTTCACCCACGTTCCAAACATGTTTATTTCAGCGTGAATTCGTCCTAAAAGGGTTGAAAGTTAGATGTTCTTGTTATGTATTCTTGAATTTGATGCTGTTCTTGAATTGGGCTGAGATTGAGAAGTTTCTGATATCATTACATCGAACTATAGAGTTGTTTTGAGTTATGTTCTTAGATACATTTGTTGGGTATCTGAATCTAAAGAGAATTTGAGGAAAATAACAGAGTTTTGGTGAATTGGGGCTGGAAAACGAAGAAGAAACAAGTCAGGCAAATCTGGGTACCAGGTTCGCGCCGTGAACCTGTTCCTCAGATTGTGAAAATCCTCCCTCGCATCGCAGAGCGGTCACGGACCGTTCTGCCTCAAAAATTATTTTTGCAACCAAAAATTTAAATACATCTCTGCGTCGCGGACTAGTTTCCAGACAGTGATTTCTTAATCTTTTCTCATGTTTAACTATCTAAAAACACTCCTAAACATCATGAGATCTTTCCTATCACAAATCACAATCCTTGAATCCATAATTCAATTCAAGGAAAGTTAAGAGTCAAGTCTAGAAGTTAAGAATCAAGTCAAGAGAAGTTCATAAAGTATTTCAAAAGTCTTTCACAAACATTTTAACTTTGTTTTAGGACTTAAGCTCTGAGTTGAGTAAAGAGTAAGAGTAAAAGTTCATTTCTTCAAAGATTATACGGGAACTAAGTATTCCCAAGAGTTAAAAATATTTTCACATTTGAGCAAAGATAGGGAACATCGATTCCAAGAGAGCTTTTAAGCTAAGTTTTGAGTAATTATCTCAAACCAAATAAAGAAGTTTTGTTTTAAAACATATGAGCTAAGTATATTTTGGGAGTAGTATTGAGCACCGATATGGGGATGCGATTCATAATAACTCAAGTCTCCATAAACCATGTAGCCATCATGGGTAGAAAAGGATCATACTTTTTAGATCATTCCTTAAGTGCTTTTTAGCAGAGACTAGTGGATCCACTTAGTTAATGCGTTCTATATGAAAGCAAAGTATAGGACAATTCTGGTAGCATGGGCAAGACGTTGTATCACCACTTAGGCTCATAGTGGTAGTTGTCGGTTAGAGAAATTCCCACAGAAACTATATTACTTTATTATATGAGTAAAGTTGAGTTTGTTATTGTATTTTCTTAAATGAACTAAGTTGTTTTCTACTGTTTTAAAAGCTTTCTATATATTGCATGTGTATTCTTCCTTTATATTGAGTTAAGTTATTCATGAGTTGAGAAAGTCAATGTAAGTGTTTCTTTCAGATTCCTTTCAAGCTTATGTTATGTTTAGTGTTTCCCCTCGCATACTCGTACATTCAATATATTGATGTCATTTGGTCTGCATAGTTTTATTATGTAGACACAGGTAATCGGGATCAGCATCTAGGGCGCCGTTGAGAGTCAGTTGGTAAGCCTCCTTGCTATTCGGAGGACTCTTCTTTATCATTTGTTTTAGTATTTAATTCATAAAGATGTCGTGGGTCTTGTCTCGACATCTCTTTTTATTTTAGAGGCTTCATAGACAGTCAGACAATTAGTAGTTTAGTTGTCGTTACATTATTATTTCATATGTTAAGACTTGAGTTGTCATTTTGGCCAAGTTGAATGTTTGACCTTTAAAAAGTTGAGTAGAAGTGCATTTGATCATTGTAATAATGCTTAGAGTCTTCCACTTAAGTCAGCCAGGCCAATGATTCGCTTGGGGCCAGCAATGGTTCTCGAGTGTCAATCCCACCTAGGGTGTAGGCTAGCTCAGGGCGTGACAAACTTGGTATCAGAGCACCGAGTTCAAGAGTCCTAGAAAGTCTATGAAGTCGTGTCTGTAGAGTCTTAGTTATCGGTGTAAAGTGCGTCACATCTATAATTAGGAGGCTGCAACACTTAAGAAATTTTCTCACTTCTTTCATATTCATTTCGTGCAATTGAGTTCATCTCTTTAAAATATCTTTCTAATTCATTCTTGCTCATGTTTTTAGTTAATCATGCCTCCACGAAGAGCTGTCAAAGGTCGTCCTGCTAGGCGGAATGCTGAAGAGCAAGGGGTACCCAATGCACCTGAAGTGCAACCCCAAGGAGAAGTCACCAATGCTGAGTTCAGGGAAGCGATAAGAATGTTGAGTCAAGTTGTGACCAACCAAGCTAGACAGAGAGAGAACCGATAGGAAGGGAATGATACTTCGAGGATTCGTGAGTTCTTGAAGATGAATCCTCCAAGTTTCACTGGTTCAAGCACTACTGAGGATCCAAAGAACTTTATTGAGGAGCTGAAAAAAGAATTTGAGGTTATGCACATTGCTGATGATGAGTGAGTGGAACTAGCTACATATCAACTGAAGGATGTTGCTAGGACTTGGTTTGACCAGTGGAAGAGGGTAGAGCTGAGGGTGCACCACTTGCGAGTTGAGCATGTTTTGAGGAGGCCTTCTTGGGGCATTTCTTTCCCCGAGAACTGAAAGAGGCTAAGGTACGAGAGTTCCTCAAACTTAAGCAGGATTCTTTGAGCATTCATGAGTATAGTCTGAGGTTCATACAACTTTCCCAGTATGCTCCAAAAATTGTTGCTGACATGAGGAGCAGAATGAGTTTGTTTGTTACTGGGCTGTCTCGTCTGTCGAGTAAGGAAGGTAAGACTGCAATGCTAATAGGTGACATAAATATATCAAGGTTGATGGTCTATGTGCAACAGGTTTAGGAAGAGAAACTGATGGATATAGAGAAGTTTAGAAACAAGAAAGCGAAGACAGGAAATGAGTCCGGGCAGCAAAGAGATAATGTGAACTGTTCGTCCTTTCGACAAAAGCAAAAGGGACCTGCTCCATCATCTACTAGTGCACCGGCACCTAGAAATAAAAGTGAGTACAATAGTCAGAATTCACAGCATTTCAGAGCTAGACCTACCCAATCTTAGGGTAGTGTGGCACAAGGAGGTAACTAGGCTCCTGGATGTTCTAAGTGTGGTAGAACTCACCCAGGTAAGTGTCGCGATGACTCCATAGGTTGTTTCAAGTGTGGACAATAGGGTCACTTCATGAAATAGTGCCCTAAGAACTGCCATGGTAATGGGAATCAGGGTAATAGAGCCCACTCTTCATCAATTGCTCCACTAGACAGAGCTGCATTTAGAAGAGCTACTTCAGGGGCAGGAGGAAGAGGAAACCGTCTTTATGCGATCACTAGTCGCCAAGAGCAAAAGAACTCTCCAGATGTTTTCACTGGTATGATCAAAGTCTTTACTCTTGATGTTTATGCTTTGCTAGACCAAGAGCAAGTTTATCTTTTGTAACCCCTTATGTTGCAAATAATTTTGATGTACTTCCTACGAAACTCTGTGAACCTTTTTTTGTTTCTACACCTGTTAGGGAGTCTATTCTAGCTGAGCGAGTATATCGTGATTGTGTCATTTCCATCAATCACAAGAACTCCATGGCTGATTTAATTGAGTTAGACATGGTAGATTTTGATGTCATTCTAGGTATGGACTGGCTTCATGCCTGTTATGCCTCCATTGATTGTAGAACTCGAGTTGTTAGGTTCCAAATTCCTAATGAGCCAGTTATAGAGTGGAGTAGCAATTCAGCAATGCTTAAGGTTCGTTTCATTTTGTACCTAAAGGCACGGAAGTTATTTTCCAAAGGTTGTGTCTATCACTTGGTCTGAGTTAATGACTCTAGTGTTGAGATACCTCATATTCAGTCAGTTTCAGTAGTAAAAGAGTTTCCAGAAGTCTTTCCTGATGATCTTCCTGGAGTCCGTCCTGAGAGAGAAATAGCTTCAGCATAGACATTCTTCCAGATACTCTATAGAATGGCACCAGCAGAGTTGAAAGAGCTTAAAAAAAAGTTGAAATATCTCATTGATAATGGCTTTAATCGACCAAGTGTCTCACCTTGGGGCGCTCTGGTCTTATTTATGAGAAAAAAATATGGTTCCCTTAGGATGTGTATAGATTACCACCAATTGAACAAGGTTACCACCATCAAGAATACTTATCATCTTCCGAGAATTGATGATCTTTTCGATCAGCTTCAGGGTGCTACTTATTTCTCTATGATAGACCTCAGATCAGGCTACCATCAGTTGAGGGTAAGGGAATGTGATATTCCAAAAATAACATTCAGGACCCGTTATGGTCATTATGAGTTCTTAGTTATGTCATTTGGTTTGACCAATGCGCCTGCAACATTCATAGACCTTATGAATAGAGTATACAAACCTTATTTAGATATGTTTGTTATCGTGTTCATTGATGACATACTAATCTATTCAAGGAATGAAGAAGATCATGCTAGTCATCTCAGAATAGTTCTCCAAACTTTAAAGAATAGAGAGTTATATGCCAAGTTCTCTAAGTGAGAGTTTTGGCTTGAGTCTGTGGCATTCTTAGGCCACATTGTGTCTGGAGAGGGAATTAAAGTTGATACTCAGAAAATAGAGGCAGTGCAGAATTGGCCTAGTCCCACATCTCCAACTGATATTGGGAGTTTCTTGGGTTTGGCTGGCTATTATAGAAGGTTCGTAGAGGGGTTCTCGTCTATTTCGTCCCCTTCGGCCAAGTTAACTCAGAAGACAGTGAAATTTCAATGGTCTGAAGCTTATGAGAAAAGCTTTCAGGAATTGAAAAGGAGGTTGACTATTTCCCCAATATTGACCTTACCAGAAGGTACTCAAGGTTTTGTTGTATATTGTGATGTGTCTAGAGTTGGTTTGGGTTGTGTGTTGATCCAGAATGGCAAAGTTATAGCTTATGCCTCCAGACAGTTGAAAGTTCATGAGAAGAATTACCCAACCCATGACTTAGAGATGCTTGCTGTAGTATTTGCTTTGAAGATATGGCATCATTATTTGTATGGTGTTCATGTAGATGTATTCACTGATTACAAGAGCCTTCAGTATGTGTTTACTCAGAAAGATCTTAATCTAAGACAAAAGAGGTGGTTAGAATTACTCAAGGATTATGACAAGAGTATTCTTTATCACCTAGGTAAGGCTAATGCTGTTGTTGATGCCTTGAGTAGGTTGTCTATGGGTAGTACCGCCCATTTTGAGGAAGATAAGAAAGAGTTAGCAAAAGAGGTGCATAGACTTGCACAACTAGGAGTTCGATTAATGGATTGCTCAGAAGGAAGAGGAGTAGTGATGAATGACACTGAATCATCCTTAGTGTCAGAAGTGAAAAAAAAGCAAGACCAAGATGCTATTTTTCTTGACTTGAAGGCAAATGTTCATAAGCAAAAAGTATTAGTTTTTGAACAAGGGGGAAATGGCGTATTGAGGTATCAAGGTAGATTGTGTGTACCAATGGTGGATGAACTCCAAGAGAGGATAATGAAGGAAGCTCATAGCTCCAGATATTCCATTCATCTGGGTTCCACAAAGATGCATCACAATTTGAGAGAGGTTTATTGGTGGAGTAGTATGAAAAAGGGCATTGCAGAGTTTGTTGCTAAGTGTCCGAATTGCCAACAATTTAAAGTAGAGCATCAAAGGCCCAGTGGTATGGCTCATAATATAGAACTTCCGAAATGAAAGTGGGAGATGATCAATATGGACTACATAATAGGATTACCATGGTCTCGCAGACAACATGATTCTATTTGGGTGATTGTTGATAGGATGACAAAATCAGCCCACTTTTTGCCGGTAAAGACTACCCATTCAGCAGAAGGTTATGCTAAGTTGTATATTCAAGAGGTGGTTAGACTTCATGGGGCGCCAATTTCAATTATTTTAGATAGAAGTGCCCAATTTACTGCACAGTTCTGGAAATCTTTTCAGAAAGGCTTGGGTTCAAAGGTGAACTTAAGTACTGCCTTTCATCTTCAGACAGGCAAGCAGAGCGCACTATTCAGACCTTAGATGCTATGTTGAGGGCTTGTGTGATTGATTTCAAGGGTAATTGAGATGATCACCTACCTCTTATTGAATTTTCTTACAATAATAGCTACAACTCTAGCATCCAAATGGCTCCTTATGAAGCTCTTTATGGGAGAAGGTGCAGATCTCCTATTGGATGGTTTAAAGTTAGTGAAGCAGGGTTGATAGGACCAGATTTAGTCCATCAAGCTATGGAAAAACTGAAAGTGATTCAAGAGAGGTTGAAAACGTCGCAGAGTCGTCATAAATCCTACACTAATGTTAGGAGAAAGGAGTTAGAGTTTGAAGTAGATGATTGGGTATACTTGAAAGTTTCACCCATGAAGGGTGTTATGAGATTTGGTAAGAAGGGGAAGCTTAGTCCCCGGTATATTGGTCCTTACAGAATATCCAAGAGGATTGACAATGTAGCTTATGAGTTAGAGTTACCACAAGAGTTAGCAACGGTTCATCCGGTATCTCACATCTCCATGTTGAAGAAGTGCATGGGCGATCCGTCATTGATCATACCAACTGAAGATATTGGTATCAAGGATAGCTTGTCTTATGAGGAGATTCCTATTCAGATTCTAGATTGCCAAGTTCTCAAGTTGAGAACAAAGGAAGTAGCATCAGTCAAAGTTATTTGGAGGAACCAATTTGTTGGGGAAGATACTTGGGAAGCTGAGGATGCTCCCAATCGATCCCAAATAACTTGTCAATTAACTATTTTTACTAAATTATACTGATTTAATTATTTATTTAAGAGTGCCAAAAGAAAAGAATGCAAGAACAAAATAAGAAAATTACTTACAATAGTTGGAAAATCCCAGGGCTGCAGCATGTATTGAATCTCATGTATCATATTATAGGCTTAGAACTAATTTTAGTTGTCAAGTTACTGGTTTATAGGGTTAATTGTATGAGTCGGGCTACACACCTCTAGTCGCCTACTCCAGTTAGCTATCTAACTACATCGTTGAACGGGGTAAATAGACTAACTGGCGAGCATTTATATTTCATCCTATTTCATAACCAAGCAAGTTGTTCATTCGGGCGTCACTCCTAAACACAAATCACCTCAATCTAATGGGTCGATCGAGCTCTCTATAGTCTCTGGTCTATCTAATCCCTCCTCTCTCGATTTTAAGATTAGACAATATATTTATCTCTAAATGGCCAGTCAAGAAATACTAAAACAAGAATATAAAAATAACTTATAATGACAACCAATAATTAATTCATAAACCTTAAATATTCAACATTCTATTCGTAGCTACAGCCCCAGAACAAGGGCATTTAGCCACTAATCTCTAAGAAAAGAAAGAAGAAGAAAATAACCTAAAAAAGTATTGACAACTTTTTACTTGGTGCCCTCTGATTGATCTCCTATAATTCCCCTCTCATAATTATTTCTATGAACTATTTATAGATATAGCAAACCCTAAGTAAAATAATTGAGTACAAAACCAACTGTGATTCCAAAACCAAACGGAATTCAACTTCCTTGTGAAAGAGTACCGCCATCTCAAGCTTTAGAGTTGTTTCGCCTCAGGTGAATGACACGTGGCAGCAGCAGCCATTCAATTTAAATTCTGCCGATATTTTCAATATCTATAAATATTAATATAATATTCAATTTAATCTATTAAGTTGTCCGCTTGATTTCCTTCTTCAACCTTTCATTTTTAATTCGTTTTAACTTCAAACTTCTTCAACTTTCCATCAATTTACTCCTACAAATAAAATACACTATTTAGCACAATCAATAAAATCCATGCTCAAAAAAGACAGATATAAATAATAAAGGCAAATAATGATTAAAAATATGTATTTTTATCCTTACATCAAAACCCCACACTTAAATTTTTGCTCGTCCTCGAGCAAGCATTAAAGCTCATCTCAAATAAATCATACTAGGAATGTCATCACTTTGATTAATACAAACAATTAGGTCATATACCAATTTTAAAACATCAAGTAGATTTCTCAATCATTATGTAAGACAACCAAATAAACAACAAACCTCTAACTTCCTACCTCAAGGAAAGACTT